CTGTTATTATTATCAACAAAGGAGAGGCGAACTTTGCAATGATGATTGTGGATATGTCTGTTTCTTCTTATGGTTCTGTCAGGTTTGCGTCATGCATTTTGAAGCTCTGTAATTATATGCACACAGAAGTTTATGATGTCTCATTTATGAATTGAACAACTTATCAATTCGAAATGTCTTTATCTCTGGTTATTTTTTTTTCCTTTAGTCAACTTCGTGTGAAAGTAATATAGCCATTCCAGCCTCTTTTTTTTTGTGATAACGCGGGCCTCTCACTGTTGTGGCCTCTCCCGTTGCGGAGCACAGGCTCCGAATGCGCAGGCTCAGCGGCCATGGCTCACGGGCCCAGCCGCTCCGCGGCATGTGGATCTTCCCAGACCGGGGTACGAACCCGTGTTCCCTGCATTGGCAGGCGGACTCTCAACCACTGCGCCCCCAGGGCAGCCCTCCAGCCTCTTTTTGATTAATGTTTATGTAGACTATCCCTCTCCTTACTATTACTTTTAACCTGTGACTTTATATTTTATTATTTCATTTTATCTCCTCCCTTGACTAATTAGCTATACACTTGGGTTTGTTTCTATAATGGTTGCTCTAGAGTTTCAAACATGCACCTGAAGCTTATCACAGACTGGCATCAAATGATGTCATACCACTACATTTGTAGTTTTGACTCTTAAAACAATACTCTTCTGTTTACCCTCTCAGATCCTTTGTGCTATATATATTTTTTTTTTTGCGGTACTCGGGCCTCCCACTGCCGTGGCCCCTCCCGTTGCAGAGCACAGGCTCCGGATGTGCAGGTCCAGCGGCCACAGCTCACGGACCCAGCCGCTCCAAGGCATGCGGGATCTTCCCGGACCGGGACACGAACCCGCGTCCCCTGCATCGGCAGGCGGACTCCCAACCACTGCGCCATCAGGGAAGCCCCTTTGTGCTATTTTTATAAAAACACTTCACTTCCCCAAATGTTTTAAATCCCACAATACAGTGTTACTATTTTTGCTTTAAACAGTCAATTATCTATTAAATAAATTTTAAAAAGGAAAAAACATATTTACCACGTACTTACTATTTTCTAGCACTGTATTCCTTTGTGTAGATCCAGGTTTCTTTTTGGTGTCATTTTCCTGCTGTCTGAAGAACTTCCTTTAACATTTCTTGTAGTGCAGGCCTCCTGGAAAAGAATTTCTTGCTTTTGTTTCTTTGAAAAAAGAATTTTTTTCTTATTTTTCATTTATTAAGGATTTTTGCTGGATATAGAATTTTTAACAGGTTTTCTTTCATCACTTCAAAGATGTGTCCAGCTGATGAAAATTTTGAGATCACTCTTTTCTATCTTCCCTTATATGTAATATGTCTTTTTTTCTCTGAATATTTTACAGATTATTCTTTTTATCACTGGTTTTCAGGAAGTTAAGATGTGCCTTGTTGTGTTTTTGTTATTGTTGTAACTTTTTTTTTCCTGCTTATAGGCCTCAATTTGCAGCGCTTTAAAAATCTATCCATTTTAAAATGGATGTCAAACACTGGAAGCATTATTTTGCTGAATGTTTGGATTTTGGTTACTTTCTTTTAAAAAGTATGTGAAGTTTGCTTTGGCAGGCAATTAAGTTATTTAAAGATTACCTTGATCTTTACAAAAAATGTTTTAAAGCTTTGTTAGAGAGCAGTGGTGTGGCCTTTACTCTTTGGGTAGTGTAATGCTAAAGCGTAATCTGGTGTCTCTAGTGAATCATCATAAGTGTTCAGCAGGTTCCTTCTATTCTGGCTGCTTGGAACTCAGACCTCCCAGCCTGTGTGAGCTCTGGGAATTGTTCGGCTAATTGCTCCCTAGGAGTTGTTCTTTGCTCAAAATCATGAAATTTTACCATACACAAACAGAGATCAGTATTTAGTTAAAGTCTCAAGAGAACTCAGTGAAGATTTATGGAACTCTTTCCCTGAAAATAACATTTGAAATTAGTTGTATCTCTTTTTTCCCCCGTAATAGTAGTACATCTGTATTCTTAATTTCTGTTTTATGTCATATTGCATTGTGTAGAACATTCAAGAATAATGTTAAATAATGTAGTGATAGTGGTATTTTTGCTGTGTCCTCACTTTACTCTAAATGCTGCTGTGTTTTCTTTTTATATTTGCTCTCAGATTTTGATAAATATTCTCTCAATAAAGAAAGTTACACTTCTTACGTAGATAAGAGACTTTTTCTATGACTAGATGAAGTTTATTAGTAAAAGCCCATTTATCATTATATGGTAATTTGAGCATGTGTATGTCCTAAAATCCTGCAGTTTCCATCCTAGAGAAACTATTGTCTTATGGACACAACAGACATATATAGCAGTAATCATAGCAGCATTATTTGTAATAAAAAAAACTAGAAATAATTTAATGGAAGAACAAATAAATAGCAGTCTATTAATACAGGATACATCTCTGTGAAGTGGAACTATTTTGAATAGGTAATGGTAACAAGAAATTAGAATCATGGTTACCATTGGAGGTTGGAGAAGTGATGTGATTGGATTGGAGGGACATAATACGGGGTTTCAGTGGTTTGTGTAAGATTCCAGCCTGATGTTGGGTCTATGGAGATCATTTCATTATTTTTATATCTCAAGTATATATACATTATCTGTCTTTTCATACATAGGAACTACTGTAGAGAAGCAACTAAATTAAGTAATTTACACTAAGACACATTGCTTATAAATAGGAAGGAATTAACAAGCCACTAATTTGTAAAATTCAACACTTGTTAATTTGTGTTGATAATTCAGCAACAGTAATTTAAACCTAATAACCAAGTTGGTAATTACTCTTTTCTGTCATATACTTATAAAACCAATAGCAGTTTATCATAGAGCAGCTACTCATTTCCAATTTTAGTATCAGTAAATGATAAGTTCAGGATATGACTGTTGGTATAAAATAACAATTTTTAAATGTTGGTAAAAAATAGAAACAAGAAAATATTGCCTATATATTCAAAAATGGAAAATCTCTTAGATTTGTTGAAGATACTTATGACTTCTTCCCTAGGTTAATGTCTTAATGGTCAAGAAAACATGTATTATAGCTTATTAAAGTTATAGAATAAAAATTATTATATAAAATTTAATATTAGTAAAATTTTTATAAAGTGGCTAAATGTTTTTACAAATAATGTCATAGAATAGTAAAATTTTGACTGTCTCATGTCCATTAAAATGTATTAAAACTATAATAATCAATTTTCAGGTAGAGATAGGGAGGTACTAGACTGTAGTTGACGAACTTGGGCTCTGGAATCAAAACTGCCCTGCTTAACATCCTGGTTCTTCCCTAACTGGTGGTATGACCTTGGGCAAATTGCTTAGCCTTCCTGAACCTTGTTTCTCATCCGTAAAGTGAGGGAAACGTACTTAACCTCACAGAGATACTTTGTAATCATTAAGTGAGATAAATGACATAAAGGCTTTAGAATAGGGCTAGCACAAAATAAATGTTAAATAAATATTAGCAATTATTGTCTAATAATTAACCTGAACTTTCTACAAAGTTTGTAGAACTACCTCACAGGTAATCTTTGTCAGGCTATTGATGAGCTTGGCGTGTGATGTAGTTTTTTTTTCATTTTCTTAGTAATATAGAGGAATAGGTCAGATACAGAAGCCAAAGAAAGCCAGATGTACGTATTAACATAACACCCACACGTAAAATCGCTGTTATATTAGGTTACATAGACTGCATCTTGGGCCACATTATTTTTTCCATTACTCTAATTCCTTAATTTTGTATTAAACTATATAAGCCTTGCCTTTTTTACAGGCTGTGTAGAATGTATCAGTAATGGAATCTTTATACTCTGAAGTATAACTATGAGGTGGTTCTGCTGTGTTTTACTGTGTTATTTCACTATCATATTGAAAAGCATTCAGATTCTTTAGCCCTTAATGTGGGGGATTTGATTTGCAGCGTTTTTTAAAATAAGATATTGATTCAGTATTTTGATGGTTTTATATAGATTCCACAATCATTTTATATGGAGCCTCACTGTATCCATCCAGATTTTCAAAGCTATACCTGATAGTATTTGCTGTGATTTTACTCTTATTAAAGCAAGGAATGGTGATCAGTTACAACTTAACAATCTTGTTTTTATTTTTAAATGGCTGTTGGTAAATAAATGAAAAAACTTAAAATGAGAAGTATCTATAATCAGAAAAGCACATAGATATAATTCCATTTTGGAGTGAAACAAAATTTGGAGCATACAGGATAAGTTTTTAGGGAATCATTCTTTGCCTTGTATTTTTTGTGTTCATTCTTTCATCTGTGTAAGCTCTGTTTTACGTTTACGGTGTGAGTACCTTAAAGGCCAACAGCCTTGTCATGTGCCTCTATAAAATACACATGTAAATTTTCGCAGCTGTAATTTTCATTTCCCCAAAATGCCATTCACCAAGGGCTCTCTATATGTGTTTTCTCTTCCTTAAAAGCTGCTCCATGTACACTCGTTAAGGTAACCTTGACTTTAGTCCTCATTAATTCATCCATTAATTCGTGTGAAGCTTTGCCTTTTACTGCCTTCTGAGGATCCCCAATCCTCACCTCCAGCACACTTTAGACACATACCTGTTGTATAATTGTTAATGTAGCTATTTCGCTTCACCCTTGACCATGAACTCTTTGAGGGCAGGGGCCATGTCTTTTTTTTTTATGCCCAGGACGCACCATAAGGGCTCATATTGAGGAGTCCAATAACACAGCCCCCAACCCTGCAGTGACCACTGTAGTTTTGCTTACTCTTTCACAAGCATTTGACACTTGTGCTGCATAAGTTAGATCTGTTTTGTTCAAAAATTTAACGTAAAATTGCCCTAAAAAATTTTAAGTTAAAAAAAAATTAGTGAAACATTTCACACCAAAAAAGAGCAATACTAGGTCTACTCTTACTTTTCTGCTACACTGTATTCCTTGAATTCTGAAACACTCTTTTTGCCTTTCTTCTATAGGTGAAGCCTTGAAAGGAAAGATCACAGTGCACAAGAATAACAAAGATCCACGGTCTCTCATTGTGACCCTCACATTGGATAATTCAACTCAAACTTATGGTCTCCAGTGAAAAGGCCACAAAAGCACTACTTTGCAGTTTTTGTTGTAGGGGAGGGGTGGAGAGGGAGGGGAGGGAGGGTTTTATGTGAGCACATGGATGATGGGTCCTTTCCTGAGCCTCCTCAGTAGGAGAGAAGCAGGAATCTGAGGATGCAGCTAAGGAGGGCACTGCCTGATCCTGGTGATCCACCGCCATAATCACATTCTTGGAAGTCTGGTCAGTGAGATTTAACCAAATGTAACCCCTACATTGAGTTTGCCTGTATTGAAAGTCATTTAAATTGGCCTAAATTTGGAACAGAGATAGTCTTTTGTTGTTTTAAATAAGTTTCTTACTATAAATTTTAAATACTGGTAATTGATTAGTTATTTGGATGTTGTTTTATTAAACTAGTAACTGTGTACAAGGTATTACATATTTTATTGCAGATTTCCTTTCTGAGGAGTAGTTTTAATTGTATTTGCTAGAATATCAGGCTATAATACATTAAAAGAGCAAGCATAAGGGACTAAAATATGGAAACAGGACCACACAAATTGTATTTGAAGACAGCTTAGTTGATTGCCACATAATTCTGTTCTCATTTTTTAGCTTCTTCTCTCTTTGCAAATATTCTTGAGTCATATAGTTTTCTAGTATTGCCCAGGAAATCTAGTTTCAATGCATTTACCCTAGGTTTCATAAAAGTTTTTAAAGATTGGGATAAATATGTACTTATTTACTAATACTTTTTTCAAACTAGATTTATGTGCAATTTAAACATGTAACTGTTAATATACTTATATCACTCTATACAATTGTGTCATTTACAATTATTGACTCAGTTTGAAGCGCAGAACAGAAAACATTCAATTAAATGTATACAACAACTATTAGCATTATAAAGTGACATTTCAATATATTAAAGCCTTTTATAAAATCAGAAGCATTTAAAACAAGCCTTAACAAAGGAATCATTTTTAAGATAACGGAAATTTTAAGGAGAAGTGGGTCACATGCTTCTTTTCAGTTCACCAGCTGGTTCTTTTTCAAAACAAGACACACACAAGGCAGCATAGTTAAGTGTTGAGAAGCATGAGCTCTGGAGCCAGTTCAGGCCTTGGCTGCAGCTCTTACTTCCTGTGTAATCTTAGGTTCCTTAACCTCTCTCCCCCTCCGTGAATGTTGCCAATTCATAAACTGATACATTTCAACTGTTGATACTTAGATCAGTGCCTGGCACATAGAAAACAGTCAATACATGCTAGGTGATATTAATTATCATCATCATACAGACAGGGACCCCTTCCAAAGAATATATGACATCGACATTAGATCAGTTTGTGAATTGTCAACCTCATCAAATACTACACTAGTACGTGTGTGGGAAGATTACAACAGAAATTCATATTTAATGTAGGAAAAACTGTATCAAAAAGAAATTGTCTTTTGGTCTTTATTAGAAAATTGGACTTATAGCAATGGGAAGAATAACCCCTTCAAATTATGATATTTCAGATCTTAGTCTAAGTCTTCCTTCATAAGCATGATTTCTCTTGTCACTGGGCTAAACTAGTTAGCTTGTTTTCACCATGATTTGAATTCAGACCATTACTGGAAATGTGTAGTGCTGATAACATAGCACAGAGTACTTTAAATTTTTGTCTGGAATGGCTTCACATACAAATTGAGTAGGGTGGGATGATAAAACAAAAATAAGCCCGTAAGATTTATTTTATTTATTTTATTTATTTATTTATTTAATTTATTTATTTTTAAAGTAACCAAAATTTACTTTTTTCTTTTTTATAAGTGCATAACAGATACTTTCTACTATTTAAAAGAGTACTTCTCAAAAATGATTTCTTATTAAAACTCGTGTTTGATTTTTAGGGGATTTTCACCCAGTGGCTCTACTGATTTTCTTTTATTGGTTATAAGTAGTCCAACCATAGTTAGTGGATCTCTGTTCTTTTCAGTTAGCCTTTCCAGGCTGGAACATTCTAATTTGTGTAACTAAACATCTTATGAGATGTGAGAGTCCAAATATTAACTCTTTGATTAGAATTTCAGCCATTAAACTGTTGTAGAAAGTAAGTACTTTATAGCCCTTACAGTGATAAATGCAATTTTCTTTCATGCTGTGGCAGATGGGCATTTATGGTTAGCAGTTTGTTCTGTCCCAAGGATCTTATTCCCATTAAGAAAATACATTTTTCTCCTATTTTCCTTTGTGAAAACTAACATTGTAATTTTGTAATGTGTGGGGTTCACACGATTAGTCATCTCTGTTTAGTAGAGCAGTATTTTCTAAAAAGAGCATTTTGAAAGGAATGTTCCAAGAAAACAGCTGAGAATGTACAGTGGTTGCACAGTGAAGGTGGTTAATACGTAGCCTCAACTGCTAGGAACACACTTTAGAATGAATCAGAGAGCTGTCAGGTAACTTTGAAATAATTTCTGTTTGGGGAGGAGGGTAAGGCTACACAGAATTATTTGCTTTCTTATCACTTAGTCTAGATTAACAGTCTGGTTCACCTGTGTCTCGCAGCATTCTACCTGTCACTTCTTTTTTTTTTTTTTAAAGATTTGTTTATTATTTATTTATTTTACTTATATTTTGGCTGCATCGGGTCTTAGTTGTGGCACGCGGGATCTTAGTTGAGGCGTGCCGGATCCTTCGTTGCGGCACGTGGGCTCTTTGTTGCAGTGTGCGGGCTTCTCTGTAGTTGTGACAAGCGGGTTTTCTCTTCTCTAGTTATGGCACACAGGCTCCAGGGTGTGTGAGCTCTGTAGTTGTGGTGCGCGGGGTCCAGAGTGCATGGGCTCTGTAGTTGGCAGCACGCAGGCTGTCTAGTTGAGGCGCGCAAGCTCGGTAGTTGTGGCGTGCGGGCTTAGTTGCCCTGCGGCATGTGGGATCTTAGTTCTCTGACCAGGGATGGAACCCGCCTCCCCTGCGTTGTAAGGCTGATTCTTTACCACTGGACCACCAAGGAAGTCCCTACCTCTATCACTCCTTAAAAAGGAATATTTAGAATGTATTGTGTGACATTGCTGATTTGAGATCAGTCTAGACTAATCTCACCAATCAGGCTATCAAGTGGAGGAAGCAGGGTAACAGTACAGCTAAGATCATTCAACAGGAAAAATTAAAACAGGATGAGGTGCCACTTGGCTTCCACTGGCCATTTGGTAAGCTTCTAGGCCATAACATACCCAAAACGTCCAGGTGTTCAGATTTTCCTGTGTAGTGGAATATCTCAAAAATATATATCAAGTATGCAGTACTGTCATATAGTTTCAATCCGTTATGAAAGGCAGGGTAAGTAAGATAGCTGAAGTCAAGCATTGTCTACCTCAGGGTCGGTAAACTACAGCTTCAATCTCAATATTAAGTATCATTCTCACTACCTATCTTTTATGCTCACTCTCTTTAGTATCCTAATTCCAGTAATCCTGCAACTGCACCAAGACCAAAATCCACTGATACAGATCACATTTTCACTGTCCCTCACCTCTTCATGTGTACATTTCCCACTTTGCCCACCTTAAAATCCATAATCCATCATTATAAGCACTGTTTCTGCATGTCTCCCCTGTGTCATCAGGTTTTCCCTTTACTGCTCTGTGATCAACATACAAATAGGCTATTATTTATCCTACGTTAAAAAACATTTCAACTCCACTTCTCCCTCCTGCTGTTGTGTCACTATTGTAGTTTCCCCTTTACATTGAGGCCACTCAGAAAGACCTGTTGATGTTCACTGTTTTGTCTCTTCCCATTATTTTTAACTATACAGTATAATGAGTTTTGACAAATGTATGCATATAATCAGCATTCTATTAATATTTAGAACGTTTCCTTCACAGCAGAAAGTTTCCGTGTGCCACTTTGCAGTCAATACTTAGCCCTACTCTCCTCCCTGGGCAAACACTAATCAGACTTCTATCAATATAAATTTGTTTTGCCTGGTTTAGAACTTCATATAAATGGAATCATGTAGTATGTACTCTTTCATTTCCAGCTTCTTTCAGCACAGTGTTTTTTGAGATTCATCCATGTTGATATGTGTCAGTAGTCTATTTTTTTATTACTGGATACTATTCCACTGTATAAATGGGATTCTGCTCATTTGTTTATCCATTCACCTGTTGTCGAACACTTAGACTGTTTCCAGGTTGAAGCTGTTAAGAATAAAGCTGCTGTGAACATTTGTATAAAAATCTTTCTTGAGCCCACTCTCACCAGAACTTCTGCCTCCACAACTCCATTGAAACTACTCCAAGGTCACCAGTGAACATGTTGCTGATTCCAGTGACCAGTTCTCAGCCCTCATTTTACTTGCCTTACTAGCAGTACTCAATGCCGATGATCCCTCTCCTGGAAATGCTGGGCTTGGCTTTCCCTCCTTCCTCCTTGGCCACTCTTCAGTTTCTTTTGTTGGCTTTCTCTTCACCTTTGACATGTTGGCACCTTGGTCCTGGGATCTCTTTTCTGTCCATCTTCCCTCCCTTGGTGATTTCATCAAGTCTTATGGTTTTAAATACCAATATCTAAATGTGTATCTCCAGCCATCTTTCTTCCACTGCAGTCTGTATCCAGCTGCTCAGATGACGTCTCTAGGTATCTCATGGGCATCTCAAAATTAACATTCAAAACTGAATTTCTGATCTTCCCCAAACCCTGCTGTCTTCCTCCATCTCAGTAATGGAACTTCATCTTTCAGCAGTAGCTCAGGCCAGAAAACTTGACCCCTTTCTTTCACTCCACATCCAAGCTGGGCAGCAAATCTTATAGAATCTTCCTTCAAAATACAGCCAGAACCAAAATAGATCTCACTACTTCCACTCCTGCCACGCTGGTCCAAACTGCTATCATCTTTCATCTCGATCACTGGTTCTCAAAATGTGGTCAACACACCCCTAGTGACTCCAAAAAAACCTCTTACAGGAAGTCCAGGAGATCAAAACTGTTTTTGCAATAGTACTAAGACAGTGTTTGCCTTTTTCACTGTATTAATATTTACACTAATGGTGCGAAAGCAATTGTGGGTAAAATTGCTGGGCCCCTAGCACAAATCAAAGTACCAAACTATACTAGTAGTCACTGTATTCTTCACTACCACATGCTCTCATTAAAATGTCCTCATGAAGCTGTAAAAAATATTAATTTCATTAAATCTTGACCCTTGAGTACATGTCTTTTTAAATTCTATATGATACTAATAAAGCACTTTTATTGCATACTACAGTAACAATATTTGTCTGCAGGAAAAGCAGTTGTGTGATTGAGTTGTGAGCTGAACCAGTCACCTTTTTCACAGAACATCATTTTTACTTGAAAGAATGACAAACTATGACATTGTCCTGCAAAAGAAAAAAGTGAACTTACCACTTCAAATAAGACAACTGATAGAATTTGTTGCTAGTTTCAAGTTTTTAAGCTAAAATTAGAATTTTGGAAAACATTTATCTACCACCGTGAGCTTGAAGGCTTCCCAGTTCTTCCAGACTGAGATAAATGGTATAGGGAGGAAAACCTCTTTTTTCCTCTACCATTTTAAGTTCTCAACTGAGACTTCTGTAACAAAAGACAGAGTAACAAGAGGAAAGCATATGAATGTATTTAATACAAGTTTTTATGAGACACACAAGCCTTCATAAGGAAGTAAATGAAGACCTTAAGAAACAATTAAACCTGAGTGTTTTTATGTTAGGTTTGATGAAGAGTGGGAAGCCTTGGGAAGATGTAGTAGGACAAAGGTGAGCTGAATTTAGTAAACCGGGAAACAGCAAGGCCCGATTGTTGGATTCTTCCGGGCAGCCCTGTGCCTTCGGAGATAAGGATGTGCCTTTCCTCTGGGTACAGGGAGGGCACCTATCAC